GTTTAGAGTGAGTCTGGCGAGACTGATGTCAGGTTAAGCCCAAGAAACTCCACGAGACAGTTCTGGAACAGCTCAGTTACTTTGTTAGCTCACACCTGCTAGACAGAATCTCGCCAGACTCACTCTGAACTCCCCAAGCCAGCAACTAAACACTACGAGTTCCTTAGGGTGGTGCCAGTCTCATCTTCTTCGCTTTCCCATGCTCACGCTGGGGGGCTGAGGAGATGCTTCTGTCCTTGACTCCTCTCATTCCATCACACCTTCTCAAATAAAATTTGTGGGCAAATATTAACTGGGATCACACCTCCCACTGAGCAATGGTTTACCCATAGTTTGTTGATCAAGGCATCATGGCTGAGTTCACAACATTTAATTCTGGATTCCCAACATGGCACCAACATGCCTCCTGAAAGCTCTTTTGGTGTCTATAAAGGATCCCTGACCCACTGATGGCATTTATTTTTTAAAGGAATTAACATGGCATAATGCTTTTCTTGATATTGTTTTTTGTACTGTTTTTGATGTGCTGTTGGGTGTCCAGTCACCTCCGTAAGATGGGCAGCCCCATAAATTGCTTTATAAACTCAAATAAATGATTTAATGAATAGAATAAAGGAAACCTCCAGCTTTCTCAATGATGCCCCTGAGCCCCAGAGTGCCTTTCGGGGAAGATAAAATAGCGGGTGATGAGAACCTAGTGTTTCTTTGAAAGCGGGCCCCACCCCAAAGATGTCTAAAAACACATTAGACCTTGCATTGCATGGAGCATTACAGCTGTATAGAAAAGCAGCACTTCACGAAGTGGGTTAACTCAAGGAAACCACAGATCCTCCAGTTTAAGTAGACACACCCCTTGGAAGGCTCATACGGTTGTGTTAAAGGCAGTCCCAGGTTGCCTTGCTGGTAGTCCTCATGGCAGTGTTTTCTGTGCATGCAAAAATGGGAAGGACCCCCCCCCCCCTTCAAAGCTGTGCGAGGTGGCTTTAGCATCTTGCAAAGGTCCTCTACTTGCAGTAAGGCGCTTTGCAGAATGTCTCTTCTGAATGCTTTGCAGTGGGACTGATGACAAAAATGCAAATATCTTCATGAAATCAGTGGCAGATTTCAATTATATAACGGACCAAGGAGCCACTGAATAGGTGGGTGGCCCACCAAAAGATTAACAGGTCAAACTCTCCTGGGAGAGGTTGCAGAGTAACCATTCTCACTTTGGAGTTGAAAAATTGTATTCTGCCTCTCAAATTGTTCCTTGACCTGGCAGCAATAATTTGATCGCAGCTTGGACTGTACATACAAGGTATGTAATGTTATGCTATAGTGGGTGGGTTCAGACAACATACGGTGTCAAAAACAAAGATCAATAAGGCTTCACTTTGGCTATGTTCACACAACCCAATCATCAGCCAAGGATGTGTGCAGGTGCAAGTTCTAAGCCTGCTTTATCTTCTTGCAAATCCAGTCCCATTCAGCATTGCAGAACCCACAAAAACAGGTTAATTTGGCAACCAAATTAAATATGCTGTGTGAAGGTATATATTATGTGCAAACCAGACCATTGTCAGCATGAGTCTACCAAAAAACGAATCGCAAAGGCTACAAAGCCACATGAGGAAAAGCAGAGCACTGTCGGCATATTTATTCCCTTCCACCGCAGATTATTCACGTGCAAAACAGCCTCCTTCATCTCCTTGAAGAACTCTTGTTCACAAGCAGATGGCTTATCCACCGGGAAAAATTACAGCTGAAGGCATTAATAGGAGAGTCACAAGCTATCTCCTATGGAACCAACCAGAAGTTCATCTAAGTTGGCACTACCTAACTGAAGCTGGGTTTGCATAATTCCCTAGACTAGATTAAACCAATTGGCTCAGGGTATGGGGATCCAGCAAATGTTTTAGCATGCTGTGTGAACCAAGCCATCACATTAAGCCATAATGGTCTGGTTTGCACATAATATATACCTTCACACAGCATATTTATGTATGTTTGGGCAAAGCATGTAATCTTAACATGGGAACACTGTTAATCCAGGTAGAATTCAACAGTTGGGTAGGAA